ATGCGTGGTTGGGAGTCGCCGAGGGCGGCGGGGGGAGGCCGTCGGCGGGGCCGTGAGGAAGGGGTGGGGTGTCCGTCCGTCCGTCCGTCCGTCAGTCATGTCGTCGTCTCCGCCGCCGCCGCCGCTGGAGAAGCCGCAGGTGATCGCCCACGCGCAGCAGGGCCTGAGCTACACGGCCTTCGAGTGCAAGTGGGTCCCGTGCAGCGCCCGCCTCCTCTGCCTGGGCAGCTTCCCGCGCGGCACCGGCGTCATCGAGCTCTACGAGCTGCAGGGCGGCCGCCTCCGCCTCCTCCGCCAAGTGAGTGGCGCCCCCACCCCACCCCACCCCCGCACGCACACACCCGGCTGGGCGTCCTGGGGCCGGTCACACGCTCCCTCAGCCCAGCCTACCTCGCGGGGGGGTGGCTGTGAGGGTCAAGTGGAGGAGGAGGCGGCCGGCTCGAGCCATACAGGCAGCACGCGAATAAATAGCAACAGTTTAGGCCCAGGTGAAGGTAAAGGTTCCTGAAAAGTACTGAGAAGCGTTGAGTGATTCCAGCAAAGTACTTTTATTAAGCAGGAACAAGGCAAAGGTAAGCCGATATGCTCAGAAACCCACCACCTGAAACACACCCACTAAGGCCCTATAGGCTATTTACAGTGGCCGAGAGTCCCATAGGCTCTTGGCCGCGGACCTGGCCCTCTGATAGGTGCGGGCTAGGATCCGCTGGACTATTGTTCTCTTGGAAGCGAAGCTCTGGTGTCTGGCCTGACCGCACGTGGTCATGGCGGAGTACATTACAGTTCCCTTGCTCGAAAGCCAGTCGAATCCGACTCTAGGGTTGCGGTGCTCATCTCCGTTTCCAAGCCGAAGAGCCAGCGCTGTCCGAAGAAGTTTCCGTGGTCATGTGGCCGGCATGACTAAACACTAAGGCGCACGGAATGCTGTTCCCTTCCCACCGAAGTGGTACCTATTTATCCACTTGCAATTTCTTGCTTTCGAACTGTTGGTTGGCAGGAGCTGGGGCCAGAGACGGGAGCTCACTCCGTCACGCGGCACACTCGGGTCTCGAACTGCTGAACGACCGACCTTCCACAGCCTGCAGTTCAGCGTCTTAACCACTTGAGCCACCGCAGCTCCTAGAAACACTGCTAAAACATTAGCTGGTTGCAGACTTTCCGGCATGTGTGGCCGTGGTCTTGGCACTGTAGGACCCGGTGTTGCACAATTTAATACGTGGCCATTGAGATTTTCGGAAGACTGCAGGCTTTTCCCTCACTGTTTTATGAGACTGTTTCGTTTATTTAAATATTTATGTTCTGCTTTTCTTCAAGGGTCTGCTCTTGGTTTAAGTAATAATAATTCATTTAATTAAAGTGTGGCGGTCGTCTGTAGGATCACCAGGAGATCCTCTGATTGTCTGGCAGTCAGAAGTCCTAGCTCTATTAGCACTATGCACCACTAGGTAGCACTTCTTTTTTAAGGCAAGAGATGTTTCAGAGGCGGTTTGCCATTGCCTGCCTCTGCCTTACGACCCTGGTATTCCTGGGAGGTCGCCCTTCCAAATACTACCTGAGGGTGACTGTGCTTAGCTTCCAAGATCTGATGGGATCAGGCAAGCCTGGGTTGGTTAACGTGTCAGACTAGGATCAGGGAGACCCAGGTGGAAATCTCCACTCAGCTGTGGGAGCTTGCTGGGTAACTGTGGAGTAGTCACAGAATCTTTTTTTTTTCTCTTTCCTTCTAAATGCCTTTTATTTGGACCAACCAAATTGACACAAAACACTGTGCAAGCTTTCGAGCTCAACAGAACTCTTCAGCGAACTGATGGTTATAAGGTTTAAAAGAACGAGAAGGGCGGAAAGCAAGTTTCCCAGACTGTGTTTTGAGATTGCACCATGGCCCTGGAATCCCTGCTTTCCCCCCTTCTTCTTCTTTTTTTTAATACTTTATTTTCAGTTTCCACAAATAACAAAGGCACTAAAACCAATCCATTTAGAATTCACATTATTCCAAATATAAAGTTCATCTTCCTAATTTAACAGTTATTATCTTTAACTAGCATTCTTTCACTCCAAATTTCATTTTATTCGTATATTATTCCAGTCATATATTATTGGGGATGGGGATGGAGTAGTCCCCATCTTGACCTACCTCACAGGGTTGTCCAGACAAGAAGAGAACAAGCTGTTTTACATCCCCACTGGGGAGAGAAGTATTAATGAAGCAAGTAAATTACTTCTTCTGAGTAGCCAGCCTGGATCGGGCCCCTGGTCCCCTCTCATCCAGCATTCTCTCTTTCCCAGAACAGTTTCCGTACAAGTGAACACACACACATGCCCAGTTACAACTTCTGAACATGGAGGGCTGATAGACACAGAGAACTGCTCTCCAAGCACCTCATGTGGTTGTCCCCTTTCCTGTTTTAGTGTCACCACAGCCCTTTGACCTGTGTTAAAGAGTGCTTGACTCTTGGGGGGGCTCGGGATGAGGTATGACCCCCTGTGAGGTAGATTAGACTGAGAGAGGTGTCATGGCATCTGCTCGTCTTGCAGAAGGTCCCAGGTTTGATCTCCAGTTAAGAGGACCAGGCAGGAGGTGATGTGAAAGACCCGCCTGAGCCCCTAGAGAGCTCCTGCCAGTCTGAGTAGACAATACTGACCTTGAAGGTGAGGGACTTTGGCTCAGTGGCAGAGCATCTGCTTGCCAGGCAGAAGGTCCCAGGTTCGATCCCCGGCATCTCCAGTTCAAAGAACCAGGCAGGAGATGATGGGAAAGACTTCTGCCTGAGACCCTGGAGAGCTGCTGCCCGTCTGAGTAGACAATACTGACTGATGGACCAGTGGCCTGATTCAGTGTAAGGCAACTTCATATGTTCAAAGTGACCGACCCAAAGTCCCCTGATGAGTGGGGACTCCAGTTCCTTCATCCAGGTAGTTGGGGTTGATGAACATGATTCTCCTCTGTCCTCAAAAGCCCTGTGAAGTAGGGTAAGGATGCCCTAGGCTACAGGAACTGGTCCTGGGTCCCCCAGTAAACGTGAGAGCCAGTTTGGTGTAGTGGTTAAGTGCGCGGACTCTAATCTGGGAGAACCGGGTTTGATTCCCCACTCCTCCACTTGCAGCTGCTGATGTGACCTTGGGTCAGTCACAAGCTCTGGCACACTTGTTCCTGAAAGAGCAGTTTGTGTCAGAGTTCTCCCAGCCCCACCCACCTCACAGGGTGCCTGTTGTGGGGAGGGGAAGGGAAAGGAGTTTGGAAGCCGCTCTGAGACTCCAAGTGAAGGGCGGGGTATAAATCCAATCTCTTCTTCTTCTGCTTCTTCTTAATCGTTGAATAACGATTCCCTGGAAGGCCAGATGATGAAACTGAACCTCAAATACTTTGGCCACCAAATGAGAAGGGAGCCCTCACTGGAGAAGACCCTGATGCCGGGAAAGATTGAAGGTCAAAGAAGACGGGGACGGCAAAGGATGAGATGGTTAGACAGTGTCATAGATGCAACGAGCATGAAGTTGAGCGAACTTCAGAGGACGGCGGAAGACCGGAAGGCCTGGCGTGATCTGGTCCATGGGGTCGCGGAGAGTCGGACTCGACTGTGCGACTGAACAACAACACAACACTGGCCGTCCTTCATTGAGTCTTGACATTTCAACCCGGGTTTTAAAATTGGAACTTAAATCGTCTGTATGTTGCAGCGTTTCTGGGCTTTGTCTGAATTGCAAACGGAAGGTCTGGTGGAGGGGTCCCTGTGCTCCCCCTGTACTGAAAACATGTCTTAACTCCTTCCCCTTTGTGGAGACAGTTTTCTAAAGTTAGTTTGGAGTCCAGTAGCTCCTTAGAGACCAACAAGATTTCGGCGGTATCGGCTTTCAAGAGGCAGAGGTCCCTTCGTCAGCCGCATCAGGGAGCTTCGACGCTCCAGCGCTTACGCTCTGGAAATTGTGTTGGTCTCTCCGGTTCCACTGGATGTGAATCTAGCTCTTCCAGTGTAAACCAGTGGAGCTTGCGGCTGAAACAAACTTCCCAGGGTCTGGCTGTACGGTGACTGCGGATCGTCCCTGCAGCTGTGACTCTAGCGCAATCTGCTTGAAGATGCCAGTTAAACAGTCAGTCCAAATCTGCATAAATTTAACTTTCTCAGCTAGGGAAAACAGCGCCCTGACCTGGGCTACCCTGATCTCGGAAGCTGAGCTGGGTCGGCCCTGGTTAGTATTTGGATGGGGAACCACCAAGGAAGACCAGGGTCACTTTTAGGGCTGCCGGGTCCCTACCGTTCTCCGGGGGAGGGGGGGAAGCTCCTGGTCCGGGATCTTTGCGCATGCGCCGCGATGACGTCACCCAGAAGTGACATCATTGCGCTAGGCACGTCGCCAGGGGGACACTCTAGGATTCAGCTAGAAACTCTATGATACCATATGGTACCATAGAGTTTTCACACCAAGTGCTAGAGCGTCCCCCCCAGCGACATGCATGGCGCAATGACGTCACCTCCAGGTAACATCATGTTGGGCACGTCAACCTGATCCAGGTACTTCGGGGGCGGAATTCCCCCCACCTACCGGATCCAGTCCGGTGGATCGGGGGCGCCTAAAGCTGGCAACACCCCCCCCCCCCCTTTCACAAAGTGGCACCCCCCCCCCCCCCCCGGGGGAGGGATCTGGCACCATTAGTCACTATTCAGAGGCAGGGAATTACAAACCACCCCTGTTAGTCTCTTGCCTTGAGAACTAGAACTCTGTGCGATTGCTGAAAGTCACACACACAAACACACAGAGGGAAGGAAAACAGTAGTGTCTCTGTGTGTGTCTGTGTGTACAGGTTTCCCCCGAGCTAACAAAATTAAATTCATGTTGGAATTTGGGCCTAAAAAAATACGAGAATTTAATTTGATTTGCGACCTTCAGTCCTGTTCCTCATTAAGACAATGGCCGATTGAAAACTTAACCTTTTGGTTGAAGGAGGTCGGTTTCTACCAGTGAAGTCCTTACCGGTAATCCAAGATCTGCATCTCAGATTGGAATAAAACGAGAACATAAGAGAAGCCAATGCTGGATCAGGCCAATGGCCCATCCAGTCCAACACAGAAAGGAACAGGGCGGCTTGTATTGGCACGAACGCTTTCCCGCTCTGTTATGTTTGGTGGCTCGAGGTTCAGAAGTCGAGCATTGTGCAGCACTGCGATGGCGTGCTGGTCGCCATGGGGACGGCCATTATGTTTTGCCTGTGTACAGGGTGCCAGAGCTTCCTTCGGTGTGTTGGCTGCCGTCGCCATGGGGACGCGGGAGAGCTCAAGGTATTGGTCTTGCATAGCATCCAGGAGCCCAGAATGGAAGCCGCTCCTGTCAAGTAGGTTTACTTTACTCAGGCGATCCCTGGATGTTGTAAATGGAAAACGGCTTGTTCTTTTGTGTAGCGACGAGCGTGGAATTATCCGTGAGCTTTAGAATAGCTTTCTCGTGACGCGCATCGACTGGCAGCCCCAATCTAAACCCATTCGGGTTTTGTTAAGCAGCCCGACCCAAACCTTTCTGTGATATGAAGAGTGTTAGGCCTGATATTTTCTATGTAATATAGGGGTGTCAAACATGGAGCTGCGGTGGCGCAAGTGGTTAAGACGCTGAACTGCAGGCTGTGGAAGGTCGGTAGCTCGGCAGTTCGAGACCCGAGTGTGCCGCATGACGGAGTGAGCTCCCGTCTCTAGTTCCAGCTCCTGCCAACCTAGCAGTTCGAAAGCAAGAAATTGCAAGTAGATAAATAGGGACCACTTCAGTGGGAAGGTAGCAGCGTTCCGTGCGCCTTGGTGTTTAGTCATGCCGGCCACTTTATTATTATTATTATTATTATTTATTCACTTCCACATTCACAAAGATACAGCATCATGAAAGCACAACACTTATAATACTAACTCAACATTGTAAAAAAAAACTTAGTATCACCATTCAAGGGTACAGTACATATAAACATTAGCCAGCAAAGATACCAAGGTAAGAATAACAGCTGTTTTCTTCAACCCCCCTCAACCGACCCTTCATTCTTTCACATCGATAATGACCTGTGATAATTTGAGTTCCTGGGCAATATATCATGTGTAGAAAGGTACGAGAATATTGAAAACCAGACAGACTCAAATTTGGAACTCGAAGGTTGAGACGACTGGGCCCTATGAACACTATCTGTGATCTTGGCCATCACAAATTCCTCCCATATTTTATCAAACCAGGCTGATAGTGAATGCATTTCCGGG